CTGCGTGAGTACTGAACTCAAATACGAGACACTAAAGTGACAGTAGGACGCTCACCGATCTGGTTACGGAACATGCCTGTCCAGTTGTGTATTGGAGCTCAATCTAGAGCCCTCGTAGGCAGTCGCATAGCGACTTGTAGTATATGATGAAGGGGGACAGGAATGGTCACTGCTCTCTTATTAGCCGTCATCAGCCAGTCATACCAAATCTCAGGGGTGGCGACCCCTGAGCTTCGCACCAGCGATCTTTGATCATTGAGTACAAAGCTCTACCATGGCACCACGAACCTGTTGTTTTTGTCGGTTGCAGTCGGAACAAAAGGTTTATGTAAATGCCCCTATTTGTTCACCAATGACAATCTTTACCATCGCTCCGCGCATATTAGTACTGATTTACCCGTGTCGTTGCTTGTAGTTAAGGCCACATGCATTGCGTCTACCTTGCGATCTCCAACGCAGTCTGTCCTGCGGCTTCTGGAACTGGTTTCCAGATCACAGTGCAATGACTTAGCAAGTTATCGACCGGAGCTGTACTTGATTCGAAGGCGCGATTGCCATGGACGCCGGTTGCAACGGAAGTTAGGGTAGTGGTTAAGAGGACGACAGGGCTGTCCTCACATGTGATATTGGCGATCGTAGGAGGGGTTTTTGTAGGATGGGCGGCCGGTTGGTCGTGTTTAAATTGCACCAAATCCGGATATATCAAACAGTGCGATGCGCGCCCCCTGAGTGGCCGTTGGCAATTTGAGCACGACGGCCAGTATTGGCTGCTTACTACATTGACCTCAGATACTTGAGATGTGCCTGTCACCCTCTGTGCATTTCCTTCTATGCTGTGGACTTTGTAGATTGCTTCGCAACCAAGTACTCCTCTCATGGGTTCCCCATTTCCGTCTCAGCGGCGTCGTCCGCCTTCAGAATTTACACTCGTTTCCAGTGTTGCTTTATGCTATAATTGGAATTTAGGCAGTGATTAGCTCTATCGACGAATTCAATATCTAACTGACTTGGTGTTTGCTTATCTTGTGGTCGCATGCAGAGTCATAGCTGAAGCCTGCTTTTGAAGACTGCAAGGTGGTGGTCCGTCTAGTCGTCTGCCCCCTGTATAGCCTTTTGTTACTGGCGTGTCCCGACGGTCCAATCAAGAACTGGGCGGAAGTGCTAGGCAGGACAAACCTGATTCGTGAAGGCTTAGGTCACTGTTTTTAGAGCAGTCGATCCCGTGGCGGCTCAAGGCTCCCTGCCCCATTCTGATGCCATTTCTGACGTTGGGTCTACTTTTAACCCGAAACCTCAGATAAATAACAGGCACTATCGCAGCGATCGTGTTTTTGCTTCTCAGCTCCCCCTTAAGTTACGCGATCTGTGTCCATGTGGTCGATGAGAATGTGTCCGTCACCTCGTCGAGACTTTCGTTCGGGGAGCGTAAGAATTAATGTTTGTAATGAACTTATCCATGCAATGTGGCGGCCTCATGCTAACGCTGCGATCTTTTATTGCAGCAATGCAGCCGCCCCCCCCCCGTTGCTCTTGTTGTAATGGACGACTCCAGCATTCTATCGCTCTGCCTTTGGATGTCCGCTCTAGAAGAATATTTATCCACCACTTATCTCCTGCATTCATCCATCTTCAGAGCCGCACTGTCCCCTTTGTAGTAGACCACTTTTTGACCGATTACAGTTGTTCGTTTAAGTCCGTTGGCTAAAAATTAAAGGAACCTTGTCGGTAGTCTGGTTAGTCATTGTCTTTCTGCTGGACTGTCAGGGCGCAGGGATCAAAGAGGCGGTTGTTTTTTGTTGGAGATTTTGAATAACATTTTTTGTGTGTAAAGGGCATAGCCGACAGCATTTTAGGGCCCTTTGCCTAGTCCCCTTTGCCACAAGGCAGTAGGCCATCCTTCCCTAACTAGGGCGATCCAGACGGCTGCCGAAATCCACTGTCGTTCAAGATTTTTTTGCAGTAGGCAGACTACCCGAACTGGCATAGAATACTTGCCAGATTACATGCCGCCCTCTATAATACGTTTTAGCTGGAAGGTTTGGAAGAGAGAGAGAGAGAGAGAGGACGGAGATTAGTTCAGGGACTGTCAACTGTTGAGATATACCAGATACTATCACCTGATTTATACCGCCGGTCAGGTACATTTATCCAGAGTGGGCAATATAGAAGTATGCAGGAGTCTCACTGATGTGGCTAATTGAGGTCTTCGCGGCGTATTTCCTTCGTGTAATTGCTACGACCCTATTCGGGTCTGCCTGTCCGGTCTATGTTACCTTTTTAGGCATGACATTCGTCAGCCTGTTGTGATGCTACTGTCAATGCATCCCATGGACAGGTCGAGATTGACCTGTTCGTGCCTGCGACACCGCACACTTCTATTTAGACACACGCAGGCCAGCTAGAACAGGATTCTAGCATAAAGCGCTAGTAGACAAATGTAATATGATAGGCTCTCTGACAATTCCTGGTCGACTGGCGGACTGAAAGTCAGGCTGTAATGGCTCCTTAATACAACCTCTCTGGGATTCCGACTCCGTGGGATCCGGGCCAGGTGTAGTGGCACGCT